ATCTGCCTCGTTGGACAACATGGATCAGGAAACTGCCTCGGCAATCGAATGGAATAAATGCGCTGGGATCTCGCTTGACCGAACTGCAAACGCCAAACGATTGGTGGAGAGTTTTTCCTGTCAAGACTGGACAACGAACTCTCATTTCTCATGTTCATGCATGTGTCTCGGTCCACTTGGAAGTTTTGCGTTGGTAGTTCACGAGGAGGCGCCGATATAGTTCGCCATCGAAATCTGGGGGCGCCACGCAAATCCAGTGCGTTGAACTGAGTTCCCCTACTTCTGGGTTTCTCTTTTCCCTTTCAAGGTTGGAGATTATTCTCTCTGCTAATCAACAGCCCTGGACCCCCCAGAGTCCAACGGGAGATTGATGTACTGAGATGAGCCCCGTGGACGGCGGCCCTATGACGCCCCTCTCGTGGTGGGGCCTCCGTCAACTCCATACGAAAGAATTTCCACTTCGAGGAATATCCAGATTTACTGCCACGTACATTATAAGAGAAATATTAACAAGAATATGAATACTCACGTCAAGGCCGCATATGCAGCTGAAAAGTCTTAGCCTAAAGTTCTTAGCTGACAAGCAGGAGAAGAGTTTCAGAACGGCACTGCCGTAATATTTATGCTTAGAACATAATAACGAAACGAAACTTCGAAATGCATGCAAGCTCATGATTACTGGTGGGGATCATCCCAATGTGACATCGTAGTATATCTGCCATCTGACACTTCATTACTTGTTATCACGGTGCCATCTGTAGCGTAAGGCTTTGTATAGAGTATTGAAGCAACAGTCTATACAAACACTATTGGTAGCGATGGAATGACATGCACAGGACCACAGGTAGTTGAATGGCAGTGTCGATTTACACAGTAGTGCGAATCCGATGTGGTGTTGCACTTAGGACTCATACCGTCTATCACACCCATGGAGTGGACGATTGAGTGATGGCATGCCTGACCCCAGATTCTATCTGGCCGATATTGGCTTGAACACCCACGTCGCGATCGGATTCGGGGATGGGAGTGTTGCGGCCGCGGGGCCCAATGTCCCCACAATCGGGGTTGAATGTCCACACACGCGGAAAAATGTTATTTATAGAGTAGAATAGCGGGCCTTCGGCCCGCTTTTTACTGTGGTCCCTTTACGACCCTATCACGTACACCCTATACTCGAATAGTCCACGAAGGATAGACACTGGGGTTCAATTCCCAACTGCGGCGTTGCGGAAAAATTACATGCACTTTGCACAAACTGCGCAACTTGAGTTTTGAAACCGTTTTGAAAGAAAAAGCCTCGCGGTAACCCCCCCACAGGTCTTGGCGCCTCAACGTGGCGTGGGGGTGACCGGTTCGGTATAGCCGGTGCCAAGCCTTGACCACCTCTGCGGCAGAGGCTCTGCCTATACTCGTACATCCCTCAGCGGGTGCCTGGGAGTAAGGTGGGGTTTCCCTCTGTTGATGCCTGTTTAGCTCTTTTCTAGCGTTTCATTCGGCGGCCTGCTACTATGTGTATACCTGTTCTATCTTACCCTTACATTATATCTCATGCCACACCGTTCCCCATCACGATTTTGTCTCATGCTATTCCTGCACCACTGTCTAATTGTCGAGGATTGCTTTCACATTTGACCTGGCTTTTGTCAGGCTTCGGCTTTTCTTTCCCCTGAGTTACGTCGTATCTGCCACCGCCTTTGCCCAACAGTTGCTCCCGTGTTCTTTCGCTCAGTTGTCTCATTTTATGCATTCGCGTTCGCCCCGCTTCGTTAGTTCTTCTTTCTTGTCATTCCAGGTACTACCAATGCGCCGTGTCCGAATTAACTTGCTGGACAAGACGCCAACACCACGTGCAGCACCAGTGACAGCGGGTTATTATTCTTTCTGAACACTACCTCTGTTGGTTTTGCAGCGAGCATGGTCCACTGTATGACCTGGGAATCATCGCGATGTCTTCTCGCTCTCGACCATCTTACTGTCGATGTTCACCACCATGACTCCCGGTGTATTCTACCCAGTGCCGAAGAAGCAAGAGGAGCGTCTCCTGTACCGTCGTAGACTTGACTTACTTCCCCTAATCAACCACAGCTGTATCTGTCTGCCGTGTAAACCCTGTTCTGGTGGTTCATTTCCTTCCCTGTGCTTCGCTCAGCATATATCGTGCGATGTCATCACTTTCGCATGATATGCGATATTATGTTAGAGCTGCCCGGAGTCTATATCGTCGTCTTTATAGTAGTCGTATTTCTTTCCCTTCGTTTCAACTCCTTTTTTCCCAGTTTTAAACTAAATCTAATGGTTAACCTAAATTAGGTATTATATCGGGCCCCACTCTTTGCATTATTTACCTCTCTCTCTCGTTGTAGTAGTAGCTCACTGACTACCATGACTAATTTGATGAAACACAACCGTGCATTTGTCAACCAGTCCAGTAAGCCTATTTCTAACGATCGAATGTTGCTGGGGTCTAGTTTCAATTTCGAAGCCAGTGATTGACTCTGGCATCGGGAGTATCATGGTCCATACTTCATGGGTATGACGAGCACTCTGAGTTTGTTTAACGCAAAAGATGCAGACTATCAGAGAAAGAATGATCCAGAGCGCTCAGTGCTAAACTTAGTACGCGTTAACACTGCACGCATCTACTGAAGCGGCTTCAGAATCTCTCAAGCTCAAAATTACAAAATGGAGCAGACTTGCGATAAACTTTGATAGGAAAGCAGCGCATATGAAAATATTTACCTACGCCGGCACATCTGAGTGTATACCCGTAATAAACTCTTTCGAGTTTCGGAAACTCAGTTTCCGCCTCACTCAGCGGGGACCGTCAGACCACTGGCATTTCAACGTTGGGGCCTCCGGGATGTACATCCCATCTAACAGCCATGTGTAGCGACCAGTCTAGCGGGCCCCTCTGTGAGGAATTATGAGATAGAGAAGCTCTCTAAGAAAGCCACCAGGGATCGGGTCAGGGAGTTGCCGAAGGATGGCAGATGAGCTAATCCAACTCAGTTGGCGAGAAGAATCTTTCAGCGTGCACAGTGGGGGTTGGGCTACACAGTGCTATGCACTGCATTTCCATCCCATCGTCATCATCGTTTGTAAAGAATATCCAAAGCCATTAATTCAATTTCACATCATGTCAGGCATAGTAGATACTTACTTGAATTTCGACTATTGAAAAGTATACTATTAACGTACTTCTTAGTGAGAAATATGTAGCAAGTATT